GCACTGGAGGGCAAGGGCCAGCTGGGAATTAGGTGTTGCTTTGAGAACACATTTTAAGGGCAGGACAGGACGTCTCGGGGGACAATAGCATCTTTGAGTGAGAAATGACACGCCTCAGTGTTCTTAGAGAGGAGAGAGTGGGAGTGTAGAGAAAGTTAAAGATGAGAGGCTGGAATGGAGCGGAATGCGGATGCAGCGCCTTTAATAATGCATCTGCTGCTCTTCTGCTCTCGTTCCCCTGGAATCATCTCGACTTCAACATCCTCCAGCTCGTTCCGCGCATGTTTGGTCCCAGAGCCCTCCCACTGGCCTGAAGCTCATCTGTAACGCTACAGCACTCCGCTAACACATGGCCAACGTACTTTAAAGGGTTAGCTCACCAAAAAAAAAAAAGAAATGAGGATTCTGTCATCATTTACTCACCCTCATGTCGTTCAAAACCCGTATGATTTTCTTTCTTCCGTGGAACGTTTTTTTGGAGCTTGACAGCCACCATTATGGAAAAGAGCACTCTGGATGTTCTGCAATAGATCTTCATTTGTGTTCCACAGAAGAAATAGTCAAAAAAAACTATTCCTTTAATATACAAAATCCTGTGTTACATTAGTATCATTGATATACTATTATAGCTTTTGTTTTTGTTTATTAGTTTCATTTTTAAATATGCCTATTTAGTATTTATTAATTTTTATTTATTAGTTTTACTTTATTTAGTATAATTTTTTAGTACTTATACTATAATTATACTATAAAAATAAGATTTTTTTAATTTAGATAACAGTAATAACCCTGTGACAATCATGCAATCATTTTTTTCAACATTTAATTTTTTTTTTGCAAGACGTTAGACAAACAATACAAAAGAATTATACATAAAAGTAAAGTATAATATACGGTTATAAAAGAGTAAAATATAAGGTTTCTTTTATATTTTTTCAGTACTGTTAAAATTCTTTTGCAAGGATTTGATACAAATAATATGAAAGAATTATACATAAAATTAATGTATATACAATTTGCTTTGCAACTAGCTAAAATAAAATGAATAAAATTTTGTATATTTTATTTTTGTCACGTTTATGGACGGTTTTTGTTTTGTTTTCCCTGTGTTCCTGCCTCCTGTTTCTTTATGCCCTTATTTGGTCCTTCCGGTTCCTGTCCCCATTTAGTTCTATTTGTTCCAGGTGTTCCTAGTTATTAGTTATCCTCCTCACCTGTCTGTCCCTCGTTATGTGCCTTATTTGAGTTCTAGCCCGTTCTGTTCTCCCTTGTCCGGAATTGTATATGTCTACCCTTGCTACGTGTGTTTTCCTGGTTCCCTGGATATGATTAAAGTCTATGGGCCTGTTTACTGTTTGATTTGTTAAAACGTTTCTCGAAAGCGGGCCTCTAGACGTACACTCGATTCGCGTTCGAGAGGGTTCCTCGAGCTGAAGGGATCCCCCGAATTTGGTGCGGATTCGCCGTGCCGTTATGGAGATATGGCCGTTCAAAGTTTTAATGGTTCTCCATAGACAAGCTTTAAAGCATTTCATCCAGGTCGCCAGTAGGAAACAAACTAAGTAATTACACCATTTCAAGCATTTTATCTGCGTTATATGTTCTGTAAAAAAATGTCATATCGGTGGCATATTCGCCGATACCGATATATCGGCGACAGGCTCATATCGGCCGATAATA